TCTTTGTAGTCGTCGTCAGACCTCTGGAGGCCCCCGGGTATCCTCATCGTCACTGTCGCCGTCGCCGTGGTCGTCGTGGTTGTGGTCGTGGTCGTCGTTGTCGCCGCCAACGTCGTCACAGCCGTCTACGGTCGAGAAAGGAGAACGAGGAACCCAGGGTCAAGGATCGAGGTTTGTGAATGATCTTGTCTTCTTGGGCCTCGCAAGGTCGTTTTCGTCGCCGCGGTTGCCCAAGGCCTGGGGCTCCCGCCAGCGCTCGTCCAGCGCCCCGGCTGTGGCCGCCGCGGGCGCTACAGCCGCGGCCGGCGTCGTCGTTATCGTCGGCTCTGCACGTTTTTGTGCGGGTTTGGACATGGTTGGCATTTCCGTGACTTCCCGTGCCAGAACCCGGGAGACACCCTGAGACCTCTGGGAACCGTCGGGGGTCATCGTCGTCCTCCTCGTCGCCCTCGACACCTCTCCTCCTCTTCCTCCTCCTCCTCCTACTCTTCCTCCTCCTCCTCCCCCTGTTCCTCCTCCTCCTCCTTTTCCTCCTCCATTTCCTCTTCCTCCTCCTCCTCCTCCTCCTCCTCCTCCTCCTCCTCCTCTGGTTCCTGCGGTGTGATTCGTATGATCCGCTCGGATGTTCACAGAGAACCTTCGGGAACATCGATGCTGCTCCTGGAGAGGCTTCTAAAAATATCGCTCGGATGCTCCTGGAGAATATCTGAGCGCTTGCTGCGATCCGTCTTACGTGTGTCTTTGGGCCGGCTTGGGCACGGAGGAGTGGGTGTGTGCTCCGACATGCTGGGAGATATTCGAAGGCTCTCGGCATCTTCCCAGAGCCCCTTCGGAAGTCCTCCAGCTGCTCTGGAAGGAAACGACAAAACTCGATGATCATTGAGGAACAATCACAGACAAAAGCATGTATGTTTGCCTCTTGGCGCCGTCTGGGGGATCCATTCGGGGCCTTGTCGAAGCGTCGTGGGGACTCATGGAGCCATCCTCAAGCACTGTTGGGCCGCTCCCAAGCGTTTCGGAAGCCCTCGGGGCGCCAAGGAGTTTCCGGGATCTCGGATGCCCTTGGGGGGCTGGCTGGGGGTGCCAGCGAATGTGGAGCCCTTCTCCGGATTCTTTTGGAGTTGTGGATGCCACGACAATGGACACCCTAACAGTCCTATCATTGGATTTAAAATGTGTTTGAACTGTCGGAACAATGTTCTAAACATGTTTTAAACCTGTTGTTGTACATGTGTAAAACATGTTGAACACATGTTTTAGACATCTGGAAATTATTTGGCAGCAGGCTTCCTCTCCATTGATCGTCCTCCACAATTTTGGAGGCGTCGTGCGCACTCCTGGGCCGACTTGGGGCGATCTTGGAGGCTCCCGGGCCCAACTGAACGGTCCAGAGCTCGGTAAAACCAGAAGGCAAAACATCGCATGCCTTTCGCTCTGGACGCCCTCTTGGCAGTCCTCTGGGGGCCTTCCCAGAGCGTTGCGGGGGCTTCTGGATCCGGCTCGGGGCAACGTTGGGCTATCTCAGGGCGCCTGGAGGCCCTTTGGCGGGAGGAGGAGGAGGAGGAGGAGGAGGAGGAGGAGGAGGGAGGAGGAGGAGGAGGAGGAGGAGAGGGGGAGGGGAGGAGGGAGGAGGAGGAGGAGGAGGAGGAGGAGGAGGAGAGGAGGAGGAGGAGGAGGAGGAGGAGGAGGAGGAGGGGGAGGAGGCCTCCTGGGCGCTGGCTGGCGGCGTCGGCGTCTCTGGCGCCCACCTGTGGGCTCCCGTGGGGGCTGCGACGCTGCCCCGCAGGAGGCCCACGCGTGCGCTCCCGACAGAGACGCGCGCGCGACTGGCTCAGCGCGGTTATAGATGATGCTGCCTTGCGCACAACGTCTGAACATGGCCTCGGCCTGAATGCCTAACGAATATGCGTAGCACCACCCACGTTGCGTTTGCAGCGGCGGAGCGGTGACAAAAGAACGGCACCCTGCTGCCGCTAACGCCCCTGACCCAGACCGAGGGGTCCTCCGAGCCCGCGTGCACCTACGCGGCGCCGACTGTCGGCTCGAGGAGTGAGAGGAAATAGACTCCTGCTTTGGGTTCGTTTTGAATAGGGCGCTCTGGTCTCCAGTCTTTCCGCCTCCCTCCTCCTCTCCCTCCCTCTTCCTTAAATACTACACAACCAGGATACTATATAAGCCTGGGCCTCACATGTCCTTGTACGGCGCGTGTGGAACACAGGGAAGGCCCCCCCCCTGCGAAACCTGATGTGCTGCCAGATAGCACGAGAGGGCTCCCCCCTCGCTCCGCACCCGCGAATGTTTCTGATGGGTTCCCTAAGCTACGCCACGACAATCACTACAATGGGATATAGGGAATCAGTTCCTGTGGTCACTGATGTACTTACTCGGTTGCCATATTACTGCTGGTACCTCGGGCTCGCCCGAGCATCCACAACCAGCAGTATGGCAACCACGGGTCTCCTCGAGCTTCCAATGGGACCCCATCCAAGTTCCTATGGCGGCCCCACCTGTGACAACAGTGGTCTCGATCAGTGCATCCACCAGGACCAGGACCCCACTACCATCAGCAAGACTCCCACGAGGCTCTTGGGCATCCGACTCCCTGGGCTCTATCAGAGGTTCCACGACCGTTGTTCCCACCCACGGGGCACCCATCAGACTCTCTTGGGCAAGCCTCAAGACGGGGCCTTCGAACCCAGCTATAAAAAGACCTACCTGCCACGGACGTGCCAGGGACTTGCAGAATATGTGTGAATCAGTCGCTGCATATGTTGTCAACTAGGTGCCGAGGAAGAGACAGACTGTGACGACAGAGAACGATTCTCCTCAGATCACGACTAGTTGGCAAGACGATGTCCTTCAAGAACGCGACGTGGATCACAATTCCTCCGAGGCGTCAGATTCTGAACCCCCAAAAATAGCAACATCCGCCGGCCCCCTTGCGGGGCCATCAGGCTGCGAGGATTAAGGTTGGTGCTCCCTGCACCAGTTCCAGTTTCCAGTGTCCATTGTTACAATACTGCTTTCTGCTTCCTACTGTAAATTGTAACTGTCCGCGCGGGGGGGGGGAGCCGAAAAGGGTCCTGGTTAGCGTCCCCCGGGAGGGTTCTCAGAATTTCTGAGGGGGGGCGTGGGACACGTAAAAATCCGCCGACCCTGTCGGCGTGTGTGAGGGGCTTCTCCGTTCGACTCGTCGTCTCCGTCGTCTCCGCTCCCCCTCCCAGGGCTCTCCTCCTCAAAAGCGCGCTATCCAAAGCGAAATTAAACGACGCCGTAGTGGAGTCGAAGAGAAGCCCCTTCCCTTGGATCCCTTCCCAGGGCGGGGGGGGGGACGGGGGGGTGAGGCGGGGGGGGGGGGGGCCGGGGCAGATACGGCGCCCGCCGGGGCGCACTTTCCTCGAGCGGGCACGCACGGGATGCACTTCCTCTCCTCCTGGTCCTCCTCCTCCTCCTCCTCCTCCTCCTCCTCCTCCTCCTCCTCCTCCTCCTCCTCCTGGTCCTCCTCCTCCTCCTCCTCCTCCTCCTCCTCCTCCTCCTCCTCCTCCTCCTCCTCCTCCTCCTCCCGCAGAGGCGTCCCGGGAGCGGGCCACGAGTCAAAATACCACCCCCCTAGGGCGCATTTTCCTCGAGCGGGCACGCCCGAGATGCACTTCTTCCTCTTCCGGGAGCACGTCCCAAGTCAGAATATCACACTCCCGGGGCGCACTTTCTTCGAGCAGGCACACAAAGGATGCACTTCCTCCTCCTCCTCCTTCTCTTCCTCCTCCTCCTCCTCCTCCTTCTCCTCCTCCTCATCCTCCTCCTCCTCCTGCTCCTGCTCCTCCTCCTCCTCCTCCTCCTCCTCCGTTTCCTCCCCCCACTCCTAGCCCTTTCGATCAGGGTCGGCGGCACCGACCGTCAGGCCTCTCCAATACATGAATTCCCTGCCCCCGAAGCCAGAATTCCTTGCAACTTATATTGTATTCGCGCCCCCGAGGCCACGATCCCTCGTAAATTACGCCACATTCGCGTCTCCGAGGCCACGATCCCTTGTAATTGACTCCACATTTGCGTCTCCGAGGCCACGATCCCTCGTACATTACTCCATATTCGCGCCCTCGAGGCCACGATCCCGTGTAATTTATGTCACATTCGCGCCCCCGAAGCCACGCTCCTACGTAATGTACTTACTTTTCGCGCCCCCGAGGCCACGATCCCTTGTAAATTACAACAAATTCGCGCCCCTGACGCCACGATCCATCGTAAATTACCCAGCGGGCGCGCCCCCGAGGCCACGAATCCGCCTTGCGGAGGCTGCCGAAAAGGCGCTCCCCCTCTCCAAAGCAGAAAAACTGTAATTTTCTGTATTGGGATATGTGCTCCGCTTGTATTCTTTTGTCTCCCCCCCGGTTCTGGAAAATCCGGCGGTGGGTTCCACATTCACCCCCCCAGGCCACGATCCCTCGTAAGTTATGCCACATTTGCGCCCCCGAGGCCACGATCACGCGTGAATTACGCCACATTCGCGCCACCGAGGCCACGATCCCATGCAAATTACACCAAATTCGCGCGCACCCCCCACGCTACGAATCCACCTCGCGGAAGCTGCCCAAAGGCGCCACTCCTTCTCCAGAGCAGAAAAAATAACCTTCACAGAGATTGCCTGAAGCAATCCCCAGCCGTTCCCAGAGCGCTTCCAGTGAACAACTGGAGGAAAATGCCAAGAAGACAACAAAGCGTTCAACAACAACTTCAACATCTCAAACTGTTTTGCTCATCGCCAGCCGCCCTAGCATGACGTTCCCGAATGTCATCAAGACGGCGCCCGAACATCCCAATATAGCTCTGCTGCATCCCATTCTGATAGAGAGGGGGCCGGCGGCAGGGGGCGAAGCCCTTACGGATAATCAAACTTGCCGATCCTGGTACCGCCAGATTCGTGGACCCTTTTCTCCGAGGACGGACAGTATCCCTCTTGTGATCCTACTCCTGCCATGACTCCCATTATTGAAGGCACCCTTCCTCCTTCCCCGAGCCCCCTGGAGCACGCACAAGGGGGTAGCCTGGCCCCCCTCTGCGCGTTGAAACATCTATATAATGCTCTGCAAATCTACGGAGCACCCTGCGTACTTGCCGTGGGAGCTCGACGGACAAATGAATGTTGGACTACATCAATTCTCTGGTCGATCCCCTACTCGTCTCGCGGCTGCTCGCACCGAGCGACAGAGATCTGGGAGCGCAATCTGGGAGCTGGCGTCCCTCTTGCCCTCGGCCAGCACGGTCAGGGTGTTGTACACATCGTCTCGACCCCCCAGGGGAGGCGGAGGGGGCGGGGGGCGGGAGGAGGGGGAGGAGGAGGAGGAGGAGGAGGAGGAGGAGGAGGAAGAAGAGGAGTGGGGGAGGAGGAGGAGGAGGAGTGAGGAGGAGGAGGAGGAGGAGGAGGAGGAGGAGGAGGAGGAGGAGGAGGAGGAGGAGCAGGAGGAGGAGGAGGAGGAGGAAGAGGAAGAGAAGGAGGAGAAGGACGAGGCGGAGGCAGAGAGGGCCGCCAAGAAAAACTGCACACGCCCGAGCGATGCCAAGCAAGGCGAGGGAGGGAAGGCTGGACAAGCGCCTTGTGTGCGCATCCCACGTGGCCGGCCGGCAAAACGCGACTGCCTGGCGGTGAGCTGGAATAGATGTACTGTAGGCACCGGATGCGACGGGCTGCGTGCCAGCGCTCCGTCGGCCCTGGTGCCTGTATATGATTGAGGGAAGACATCGAGGGAGGATATGAGGACCGGGAATGGTCGAGGAGCGTCGAGGATCGAGGGAGAGCATCGAGGATCGATCGAGGGAGGATATGAATCTAGCGCAAGCGAAGCGGACGGCTGCGGCATTTCTGCCGGCTTCGGCGGCCCACGCCTGTCTAGGACGTGCCGGAGGCTGGTGTCCGACGCCGCGCAGAGTGTGCCATTCAACCCTGAACAATCTCCGCCCTTGGAGGTCCTCAGGGAGGCTAGAACCTTGAGTTTAGCGGAGCGGGAGAGCAGGTCCCCTGGACCCGGATCTGGGGAGCAGCCCGAAAAGCAGAGCCCCTGCTGAGCCCCAAAAGCGGGGCTCACGTCAGCGCCCTCGCGGCAGCCGAGCCTCTGGGAGGGTGTAGGCGGCACGAGGCGGCCGCAGTCTGCACGGGCGCGGGCCGCCCCATCACAGAGAGATCTTGGTGGAGGTACCTTCCTGCTCGCCGCTCGAGCTACCCGCCGCGGCCAGCGTGCCCGAGGGGGAGTCGTCGGGGTCCATGAGCTCCGCCTTGAAAGCTCTCATGATCTTCCGCTGCGCGCGACGCCGCTGGGTCCTCGACATCGTCGTGCGGCGGTCTTCACCTTGCTGCGCGAGCTGCATCTCTGGGCGGCGCCTTCCACCATCAGACGGCGCACTCCAGGCTCCTGGTCCCCGAAGCAGTTGGACCCCGTCGAGGTTGAGGTGTCGGCCGTCCTCTGCGAGGTCGAGTTGGTTGGGACGCGATCGTCGGTGGGGTCCGACTTGGGGCGCTCGTCCAAGGTGACGTAGTCGATCCAGGGCGACCTGCAGTCCAGGAACGTGTTCTTGGTATTCATGCCGCTCGGCAGGGCCGCCGCGGATGTGGTAGTCATGCCGCTCGGCAAAAGGCCACCGAGCCTGATGAATGTGCGGTTCGAGCCAGGGCGGCCTTGAGCCAAAATGGCTGCGGAGTTCGGGGCCTCTGGGCCCTTCTGGAGGCTACCTGGGGCGTCTTGGAGCGCTCGTGGGCTGCCTGCAGGCATTCCGGGCGCTCTGGCAACGCTCTGGGGCGGTGTCGCACGCCTGGGGACCTCCAAACGAAACCGTCCGGGGTGAGGGGCACCGCTGTGCAAGCGTGGTCTCAGCCCGGGGCCCTTGGCCAGGGATCATCTATACACACACACATATATATATATATATACATACACACCTACCTACCTACCTACCTACCGACCGACCGACCGACCGACCGACCGACCTGCCTACCTGCATATATATATATATATATATATATATATATGTGTGCATATATGTTTATATATATGTATATATATTTGTCAATATATGCATATATAGTATATGTCTGTATAGCTATATATATGTGTATGCTTGTATGTATGTATGTATGTATGTATGTATGTATGTATGTATGTGTGTATGTGTGTATGTATGTATGTATGCATGCATGTATGTATGTATGCATGCACGTATGTGTGTATGTATGTACGTACGTACGTACGTACGTATGTATGTATGTATGTATGTATGTATGTATGTATGTGTGTATGTGTGTATGTGTGTATGTGTGTATGTGTGTATGTATGTATGTATGTATGTATGTATGTATGTATGTATGTATGTATGTATGTAGGTATATATAATTATATACACACATATATTTATATGATATAGTATAAACACATATATATATATATATACATGTATGTGTGTACATGTGTATGTGTGTACGTGTGTTTTCGCGCGCGTTTCGCGGGCGCTCAGGTGCTACCCCAGGCCGGGGGCGCGCTGGAAGATCTTGGACAGCGCTAACAAGCACAGGCGCGTGACATAGTCGTGCCTCCTGAGGGCCTCTTGGGAACCTCTTGGGTTTTCGTGGGGGCATCTGAAGGGCTTCTGGGGGGTTCTCCGTGCTTCCCGGCACATCTTGGGTGCTTCTCGGGGGGGCGTCTTGAGGCTGCTTGGGGTCCCTTGGGGGCATCGTCCTCTTCGGCCATCTGGGGAGCTTCTTGAGGGACTCTTGGGTTCTATTTGGGGGCCTCTGGAGCTTCCCGAGAGCGGAAGGCTCGGACTTTCGTTTCGTCTTACCCGCCTTGGGCCCCCCTTGGGCTCTCGGGCTGTCTTGGGCCCTGTTGGAAGCCTCTTGGGCTATCTTGGATTGGTCTTAGAGGCCTTTTGGGCTGTCTCGGAGCGTCAGGACGCCAAAAGGCTGCAAACTCTAAAATCAATCAAACACCGATGGCAAGACATTGATGTTTGCCTCTTGGGGCCTTCGTGGGAGGCCTCTTGGATACTCTTCGGCCCCCTGTGGGGCTTCTTGGGCCTTCTTGGAGCCTGTTAGGGGCTTTCTCGGGGCCTCCTGAGAGCCTCTCGGGATGGAAGGCTCGGATTTTCGCTCGTGTTAACCCTCTTGGCTCCATCTTGGGGCCGTCTTGGGACCCTCTCGGGCCGCCTTGGGCGCCTCTGGCGCCTTCTTGGGGCCCTCGTTGGCTGTCTTGTGACCATCTTCGAGGCCTCTGGGGATGTCTTGGAACGGAAATTGAGGCCTCTTGGGCCGCCGTGGAGCTTCAGGAAACTCAAAAGGCGAGAGCTCGAACATCGCTCAAAAAACAAAGGAAAACACATTAGCTGCGCCTCCTGGAGCTCCTTGGGAGCCATCTTGTTGGGAGCCATCTTGGAGGCCTCTTGGGGCGTCTTGGAGGCCTCTTGGACAGTCAGGGACCAATTCTGGGGTGGCCACGCCGTGCTGGACGCAGCGGCACTGCCCGGCTCTGCAGAGGTGGACGCCAGCAGGGTGCCCGACCTTGCCGAGAGCAGGGCGCCGGGCACCGACGGGCGGCCCAACCGCGCCGAGGCAGGCACCGAGACGCTGCTCGACCCTGTCGTGCTGGATACCAGCACGGGGCGCACCCCCGCCGCGCTGGGCTCCGCAACCCTGCGTTTCCCCGCTGACTTTCGCACTCTCGGGGCCCTCGGCTGCGCCGAATCAGGCACCGCGGTTCTGCTGAACTCCTGCAGGCAAGATGCTGCGCGAGCGCTCGGGCGCGGCGAGCTGAACACCCCGTTGCCGCTCGACTCAGCGGGTCCGGTCGCCGACAGAGTGCTGGACCACTCCAGCGCGAGTGCACCCGGAGGGCTCGAGCCCGTCGTGATGGTCCTTTTTGGCGCCGTTCGACTCCATTGAGCTGGGCGCCGACAGGGTGCTCGACCGCGCCAAGGTGGGCGCCGCCGCGCCGCGCGACCCCGTCAGGCTGGATGCCCCCGAAGGCCGCCGCGCGCGCTGCCCTGGCCGCCCCTGGGCCAGGCAGTCCTCGAGAGGCGAAGCGCCACCCGCGGCGCGGGTGATCTACCTTCTCAAGGCCTCCCCCTGCAGCCCGCGCGGGGACGCCCCTGCCAGAGAATCCACGTTGGCAGGGGCGAGCGCCACGGCGCTGCTCGCCCCGACCTCGTCGCGGTCTGCACCGCCGGGGCGCGGCCCATCACCCCCGCGCCGCTGGACCCCCGCGGGGCGCCCGAACAGGTGCGATGGACGCTGCAACGCCGCCTGACGCGTAGATCTAGACACCGCCACGGCCTCCCCGACAGGATGATCGAACGCATCGCGGCGGGCGCCGTGGCACTCCCTGACTGCGCCCTACTGAATACCGGCGGGGTGCCCGCGCGCGTTTCGACTCCGCGGGGCTGGACGCCGACGCGGCGCGCAACCCCGCCGAGGCGAGCGCCGCACCGCTGCTCGCCTCAGCCCCGCCAGACACCAGCGGCGCGCACGCGCGCGTCGCGTTGCGCGCCGTGGCGCTGCCCGAGTCTGAAAGGGGTTGGGAGACCCAACCAACAGCTTCGCCTTAGGCGAAGCCCAGCTCCCGCTCTGTTGTACCGTAGTAACGATAGTCCCAGTAGTAGGGGGCGAGCCATCTCAAGCAGTATTTTGGTATCGATGGCAAATAGTACACCTCGCGCTGAGGTGTAGTCAGATCTGGGCGGCCGGCCGCTTGAGTCACGCGGCCGCTGGCGCACGTTCGCTTCCGCTCACCTGAGTCGGGGGGTGAAGGAGACGAAGCGCGAGTCCACAGCCCCTATGCAGCAGGCACAGCAGCAACCATCTACAAAAGGGCAGCAAAAGGGCGGGGCCGTAAGGAAGGTGGACCCGCACGCAAGTTGCGTTGCCTGTATGATTCTGTACATAAATATACTCCTCAGGCGGCAGCAGAACAGGATGTCTGACCAGCCCGATAGGGAGTATGACTCTCTAAGTCACGTTTGAAGGATTGTATGCCTCCCATGACCTGTAGGAGCATCTCTCTGTCGATTCTCCCCTTGGTGTAACCGTCCGCAGTCATATCGCGGGCGTCGCACCACTGAATACTGTGCACGATTCCGCGCTCCATCATCTGTCGTGTCCAACTGATGTGTCCTAGAAGGGTACGCCCACTCGGCTCCTTCAAGTCTTTGCTTGACAAGGACTTAAAAACAGACTCAGCATCTATGGCCAAAGTGGCCTTGATGCTCAGGCCACCCAACTCAAGTATGTATTTCAACTGAGTGGGAGCGATCGGCCCTGCGCGGAGCTCGTGCAGAGTCACGATCGTGGGGTGGCAGTCCTCCAAATTATGGCCAGCTACTAGAGTCTCTGCTGAATAGCTCGAGCGACCTGCAAGCGGTGAGACTCGCAGCGCGCATCGATCAAATGGGCGACGGGTTTACCGGATGGCGTGTTTCCACGCCGTAGCAGGTTTGCCCCGCGAATACCAGAAGTCCCAAATGGAGTTGCGGCTCTGCTCATGGGTGCGAACGACGCAGGTTGCCCTGCAGGTACTGGCATCTGCTGCATCTGAGCACGCCACGGATCGCTGGCGCACAGCATGTCGGCGGGAGTAACTCCACTGGAAGTCATGCCCGTCACGTCCGCACTTTGGGCCTGACTCCATGACCCATCAGACCCCCCTGCAGGTGCCCCCGCTTGATAACCATCTTGCAACATAAATGCTGCAGAGAACTCGACCTCCTGGATGGGCGTCGG